CTTGTTTTCCCTCCATACAGGGCAAGGGCAAAGTAAGTGATGAAGTAACACAAGGATGTATGGTTTTCTTCTTTCTTATCTCAACTCCTGCCTCTGGTAACTCAAAAGTCATCTTCTTCCAATGCTTTGTGATGGAAAGCAACCCTCAAAAATCTTTGGCAGTATCTTACTTCATAAGTATTACTTCTCATATTATTCGGACTAAAATGAGCCTTATGGGCACAGCTACCTAGACCAAGAGGGAAATATTAACAGCATAGAGAGGAAAATAAGCTCTGCCCTCAAATCTGATCTCTCTGTGAGGGCTTTCTGTCCTTCAGTGCTATTATTATCTATTCTCTGATCCAGACTCTGGACTCTTTTGCTCCACCCTTCCTGCACTGACTGATTTGTTTGGACCTGACTTCTGATTATTTTAGATTTATGTTGTCTATCCAACATTTTTAGTCTTGAATACTTCTCTAGAGTCACTACTCAGATTTTTCTTCTGTATAATTTCATTTCACTTCATCTGTTCTATTTTCCTTGAACATATATCTGTCCTCAACATGCTTTCAATAATAATACCAATATATTTTATATACGCAGGTCTCAACATGACATACATTTCTGGAGAGAACACTAGGTTCCATCATATCATCATACTCCAGAAAGAAATATTTTGAGAAATAAAATTTACTTAATTTGAAAAAGCTATTATGGAGGTTCTGAGATTCTTCACCACAGAACTTTCATTTCATAAATGTGAATTCACATAAATACAGAGCTGGAAGAAACCATAGCTGTCTAGTTTTATTCTCTTAAAACACAATTTTGAGGAAACTGAAGCCAAGAAATAGTAAGCCAAATGTTCAATATTACAAAGTTAACTCGTATTATGCTGGAAGCCAGGCCCCCAGGCCCAGGGCACTCGCCTGTCCACTTCGTGATGTTGTCTTTGAGTTTCACATTATAATCATTACTGAAGATGTTGATACCCAAGTATTCATTTTTACAGTGTAAATATATGTTTGGAAATCTTTGGTTTAGGAGATTTAGCTTTAGAGCATGGAGTTGTTCAAAATCATAAAAAAAGTATATCCCTCGACAGAATGTAGTTATAAATTTTATCTTTTACTTATTGAAGATCACCTTGCAATTCTCCTTTTTTGTATTAGACACCTATCTGAAATCCCCCTTTTTGTATTTTATTTTGTGATGCAAAGTCCATTGTTGCCAAATGGAAATCAAATCTAGATAGGGCCTGACAATCTGGAGCATTGCTTTGATACAAACAAAAAATACCAATGATAGAAAAAACATAGAAATTCATAATCTAATATGTTTCTTTCTATTAATTCCTCTGAAAGAACCAGAGGCATCTATGAGCCACAATTGTACTATAATTTCCCATTCTATAAACATTATGTTTGTGTTTTATTATTCTAAGCCACATTTGGTCTATAATACATCTACCTACTATTTATCGTTGCTTACTTGGGCTAGGCAAGAAATTGTAAAAGTGTTTACATGTTCAAAATCTCCTTTATGAAAACACAATATATTTCCAAAAGATACAGGTCACAGAAGCAACATAGTCCAAGTATCCCAAGGAGAAAAGTAGTATCCAAATTATGCATTTCTCTTGATATAAAATTCTTTTAGATTTTAGTTCAACATATTAAATATTCCAAATTCCATTTTCATCTGGTCTATGAGGCTGCAAAGGCTATTCTGGAAAGCTGATCCCTCTTCACCTATACATGTTTCTACCATATTCTTGACCAGTAGAATCAGACAAAGCTAATAAGAGACAGGAGTCAAAACAGTTTTCCATTGGTGGCTCATTGCTCTCAGTGAGAGTGAAAGCTGTGGATTTGGAACAAGATAACAATTCCAAAGTCTAAAGCATGGGGAAGGAATTTGAAATGGTTGTGTCTGATGAAGATGTGCTATGTGGCCTTGGGGAATATCACTCAATGTCTGGATGTCTTCAACAGAAAAGGTCAACAGATATCTGCTTCTCCACAGTGCTGAGAATTTACTTAAAGGTCCGATGGCAGTGAAAAGTGCTGAAAGACTACCTAATACATGAACTCCTAAGTCAGAATTTCATGAGAATGTGAAGGGAAAGAGCCAGTTTGGGAAAGGTGAGACTACTTGATTACCTTGAATTTTAGGGATAGGGCAGTTGTGATTAATTGCATATTCTGCTTGACTGAGGATCAGCCACAAAACCTCAAAATACTTCTTTTGTTGTCATTCAAAATGTTTCTGAGATAATGGACTTCTGCAATAAGGAAGAATAATGTGATACATTGAGATTCTGGAGTTAAGTAGATTGACGTTCGGATCCCACCTTCACCATGTAGAATGTATTAAGCAATTGATTTAGCCTCTGTGAGCTTGAGTAAATCAGGGTGATAATTGTCATGCAAATTGGTTATGAAGGTTAAAGTAAATTAAATTGCCAACTGACTATAAAGCCTTAAAAACGGTGCGTGGCACATAATAGATAATAGATAACTCCAAATGTCTTAGGTTGGGTTCTTAAGACACAGAGCCTGAGACAGGGATTTTTATGCCAGTGATTTATTGAGAGAGTGCTCTCAGGTAAAACTTGTCAGGGAGCGAATGGGAGAAGAGGAATGAGGAGGGAACAGATGAAGATTTACACTTGCTTTGATCCCTTGAGGAACTCTAAATGGTGAATGACATCGCAAAACCTTCCTACACTGAGAGGTGCTGTGGGCAAGTGGTGTGGGGGCACTATTTTGGAGTCCTTCATCAACAAGTCATTGGTTACTGGCCACCTCTGGAGATAATGTGCAACCTCCCACGCCTTTCTGGGAAAGATGTTTCCAGCCACTGAGGGCAATTCTCAGGAGTAGTGGGCAGCTCTGAGCTGTTAGCAAACAACACTTACAGCAGCTGGGGGATAAGGGCATTGGTCTCGTGAAGGATATGGGCAGGGCAGTGTCTTCTACACTAAAGACAGCTGGATGCTTAATGAGGACAGAGGCTACAGCTCATGTGTTTTTATATTTCCTACTCATTCATTATTCAATCATTCTTTCAGCAATTATTTATTGTGGGCCACCTCTATTCCAGTCACTCTTTAGGCACATGGGCTATATCAGTGAATGAAATGAAGATCACTTCCACATGGAGCTCACATTTCAGTAGGTTCAGTAGAAGAGAAATCATAAGCAAATAGGTATATAAATAATTACATATCATATTATATTAAGTACTATGGTAAATGGATAAAAGCATTGTCTTTTCATCATTAAAAATGTGCACCATCTCGATACTTGATTTCTAAACTCTGGTCTCCCTGCGGAGTATTGTAGATGTTTATTGTATAGAATAACATAGGCATGGATTTTTATTTTATTTTGTAGTCGAAGAAACCTTAGAGATTAAGTTCAAGGTTTGCTTGAATTTGTACTGATCTCAATAAATACTTTAATTTGGTTTTTGCCTATAGGTTTGATAGAATGTAATTTCTCTATTTGTTTTTATTTCCTCCAAAATTGGAGTTTTGACAGTTTTTAGTTCATTATGCTTTCTGGCATTTTGAATTCATTCATTTGTTCACTAATTTTATAAGCAGAATTTAGTGCCTACTATATGCGAAACACTGATAAAGTTTGTAAAGGGTAGGACAAAAATCTCTGCCTCCAGGAGCGTATAGTATACGAGGAAAGATAAGTTGGGTATACTAATAGCTCTACCATAAGGAAGAAAGCACGGGAATCAAGAGACCTACGTATGAGGCCGTATGGAAGAGTGAGAGATTACTTGTGGCCAGCAAGGTTCAGAGAAGCCAAATGGAGAAGGTTTCCCCTGGAGCTCAAAGCCTGGCTAACAGATACTTGCACATGCAGGTAACAGGCTTTTGGAGCAGAAGGAACCTATAACCAAGAAATAGAGGCAACAAAAGGCTAAATGTATTTGCAGGATAATGAATAGCTCTGGCTGGGTCTCACTCCTGAGGCAAAATAGTGAGTTAAAAAGATAAATGTATGACTCAAAAGAAAAGAATTTTAGTCAAAGGTGTTCTAGTCAAAGATTTTTTTTGATAGGAAGAAACAGAAACCCACTTGAGTTAACACACTTACAAGGAATTAGTAAAAGAAAATAGGGAGATTGCACAAAATTCAAGATGGGGAAAATACAATTAGGCTCATTAAAACTTGCTGGAAATTAGGAAGTTTCAAGGGCTCTCTTTGCATCTCCTGTGACATCTTCTGTCTCTAGTTCTTGTCTTCACTTCTCCTTAATTTGTCTGCTGCACCCTTCTCTTTCCCATACTAGTTTCCTGTATTTACTTATTTTTCTGATACAGATACTTGTTTTTAATGTCTGGCGATGAACAAAGGCAATCATTTCCAGGTCTTGTGGTACAAAGTTTTTGGGAGATACCTGAGCCAAGTCACCTTGGCAGTGGAAGGCAGGCATCGGGAGCTTGCAGCCCACTCAGCAGATTCTGGGCTGGGTGCCTTTGCAGGGGAATTCTGGCAGGGCAGGCAGGATGGGGGACTTGTCATGCAGATTGCCTGGCTGAGTAGCTCCATTCTTCAGGAGGAAGTGGAGAGCCTAGGAAGCTTTCTGAGTAGAAGTTTCCAGTTCATTTATTATTCGTAGTATTACTTTTTGCTTTCTCAGTTTTATGAACTGCTAGCAACATTGGTTCCCTCCATAATTCTGTTAACTGTGCAAACTTGTACATCTGAAAACAATGAGTAGATGGCACCAAGGTCTCTCAGAGACGCAATTACATTAGATGCCCCTGGTCTGGGAGTGTATATGACAGACCCTCACTAAACTCACTACCTTCTGTTGAAAGTACATGTCTTAAGAATTTATCTCCCTGTGAGATTGAGGGTTCTTTTAAAGCAGGGATCACATCTTAGAGCCTAACATAGTGCCTGGCATATAATAGAACATCAATGCTTGTTTCTGTTTTTCTGAGGAGTGTGTCTCTCCGAATGTACTTTAACTGTATTTTTTTTTAAATTGCAAGTCCCCAAGAGGGCTTTATTGTTTCTTTTCAACGTCCTGTTCTGCAGCTTCCGGCTCTTTTTGCTCGAATGCGAAGAGCCGGGCGTTGGCACGGGCCATGCGGAGACTAGTGAAGGCTTTGCGATTCTTGTCGTCCTGAGTGATGACTCGTGCTTTCTCCTTCTTACAGACACTCTGGATGCGCATGACCGGTCCCGTCAGCTGCGTGGCAAGCTTCAGTTCTTCAGCAGAACTGCCGCCCTTCCGGGGGGCAGAGGCCTTCCTGGGGAACAAGACGACTTTGGAGCGGTACTCCTTCAGCCGCTGCGCGTTGGCCTGCAGGGACTCGGTGCACTTATTCTGCTTCCTCGGATCCACAGAAATGCCAGTGGTCCGGGCCACCTTTTTGTGAACGTCGGCCACCCTGAGCTCCTCCAGGCTGAAGCGTTTCTGTGGTACCCAACTGTGTGGCAACCCACGGCGGGCCGGATGGGCCCCGACGCGGGGGCGGGGCTCTGCAGCGCGCCTTGTCTTGCCGGGCCTTGCGTCTACGTATCTTCCGGGCAGGCTGGTTGAACCACGTGGCCACGCGTCGCTGCCGGTGCTTGTGGAAGCGGGGCTTGAAGATCATGCAGTTCCGGCTGGGCGCCGTGGCTGCACACGGCCCTGCGGCTCCTGCGCAAGACAGCTGAGCCGAGAGGAAGCGGTGCCGCCACGCCTAAACTGTATGTTAAATGCATGAATCCGTACATACGTTAGGAATGAAGCGCTGGCGCCCACACATCTAAAATTAGAAAACTGTCAAACAATGATTGTCTGCCTCGGCTCTTTCCCTAAGGAAATAGTGAGGAAAAAATGGGACAGGCTCTGAGAAGATTTTTGACATTGAAATCAGCTTTTATTTGAATTCCAACTTGCCATTTACTGGTCAGTTGGAATGAGGTGGGGCAAATTACTTAAAACATCTTAGCTTGTTTTCTCATTAGTAAAGTGGAAATAATATGTATTATTTATATACATGCAAATTTGTGTGGGATCATGTATCTAAATTTCCATGCAAAGCACAGTGTCTAAAGTTAAAATTCCAATATTTATAGTTATTGCCATTATCCTTGTTGGTGTCAGGATTTCATACCATAAAAAAAAGTGATATAATTTTTTTATGAAAGAAAATTATGAGAAAGATAGGAGGAGTCTACTAATAGGCATTATACCATCATAATTAAGAGTAAATTTTGTTTCAAAATTGTGTCTCTAGCAAGTTAGGCCTCAATTTTGTACTCTGTAAAATGGGGATAGTAACAACACTTGCCTTTAAAGCTTGGAGGAATTTACCTAAAGACTGCATGTGGTGCCTGGTGCATAGAAAGTTCTCAATATATTAAGAGTTATTAGTAGTAGTGGTCTCTCTCTGTCTCTCACATATCCACACATCGCCACTACCAAATCTATCAAATACTTTGTCTGCTTCAGCTGAGTTTTATTCCATATGGACCACAGGTGATTAATAAACATTACAGGACAGGTGGAGAGAGAGAAAGAAAGAAGGGTTTGTGTATGCATATAAGGGAGAAACATCTAAGACTATCTCAAGATTCAAAATAACTATTCCAGAGACCCTGGGCAAGGGCAGTGAAAAATCAAAGCAGCTAAATTTCCCTGAATCCCAAACCAAGTGTTTACTCCTTAGCAAAACAAAGCTGCTGAAAGAGAATCAGCAGAACAAAAGCAGAGACTTGGAAAGTAACTTTGAGAGATATTAGGGGGAGTTGTAAAGAACCTGTCCTTTCTAATCCCAGAGTTGCTGAAACTACAGAAAAGCTAGTGGAAATTAACCGTTTGTGTCACAGGCGGAGCACCATATGTTGGTTCCCTTCCCTGGAGAAAGAACAGCAAGCAATTGCTTCCCCTTCCCCAACGAGGCCGCTGAGCTCAGTCTGTGCTCACTTGGGCTCTCTAATGAAATGCAATTTAACAAGTCAGGTCCCAGCATACTTAACCTTTGGACCACGGATACCTATGTTTCTCTGGAGAAAGAGCCAGTTGTGCTTGTCTTAGTGACTGTGATGCAACCACTGAAAGGAAAAAAAAAAAAAGGCTTATACCCACTATGATTTTGTAATGGCTCCAACAAAGAGCTTAAAAGATTTCAGATGCATTCAGAAATGAAACTCTGCTGGTCCTCCTGAGCCAGCATCTCTTCTGAATGCCAGAGGGACTGACAATGACAAAACCCAGACTCAACCGATGATGCAGGCGTGGTGGTATTTGGGTTGTCTAGTCATGACAAGGCATAAACAAATCTCTTTGCCACCGTTTGCATGTGAAAAATGGCGTCTCATTAGGCCACTTTCTACCCAGCTCCAATGGCAAGTTGTCCCAGTACTACCACCCCCACTCCCTGAGTGGATCTTTGGGAAACTGGCCTTGAATATAGAACGTGGAATTTTTTAAAAAGAATAAATGTGCTAATTCCCTGTTTGGTTATATAAATATTTCTAGTCAAAGGTAGACTGACAGTAAGGGATTCAGCACAGCTGGACGTGAGGTTGGCTCCTGCTGACATCAGTGAAAAAGGGCAGATCTCAGAGATGGGTTCTGACTTCGAAAGAAATGAAAACTGAGAGCTTGCTACAAAGACAGAATTTTTTTTTAAAACTAAGGTGCTTGTAACACTTGCTTCTGGTGCGTACAGGGTCCCCCGTCTGTAGAGATAAGTCCAAGACCCCCAGTGGATGTTTCAAACTGCAGATGGTACTGAATCCTATATGTACTATGTCAGTCACTCTGTTAACTGAGACTACTAAGTACCCAGTAAGTAAGTAGTGTGCACAGTATGGATATGCTGGACAAAGGGATGATCATGTCCGAGATAGGAAGGTGTGAGATTTCATCATGCTGCTCAGAAGGGCATGCAATTTAAAACTTGTAAATCATTTCATTTCTGAAATTTTTTGTTTAATATTTTCTGAATGAAGTTGACTACAGGTAACTGAACCCACAGATAAAGGGAAACTACTGTACTCTTTTTCTTTTTTTTTGAGATGGAGTTTCACTCTTGTTGCCTAGGCTGGAGTGCAATGGTGTGATCTCTGCTCACTGCAACCTCTGCCTCGCAGGTTCAAGCGATTCTCCTGCCTCAGCCTCCCTAGTAGCTGGGATTATAGACGCCAGCCACCATGCCCAACTAATTTTTTGTATTTTTAGTAGAAATGGCATTTCACCATGTTGGCCAGGCCAGTCTTGAACTCCTGACCTCAGGTATCCCAAAGTGCTGGGATTACAGGCATGAGCCACTACACCCAGCAACTGTACTCTTTAGATGATAAGAAAGGAACTGTATTTCTGTAACTTGGACAAGAGAAACTAAGGGGAAGAGTATGTGACAGAGGGGCTGGAATGAAGCAGTGGTGGAATTTTGTAACCATTTTTGTAAGGGAATGGAGACTTAACACATGGAGGATACTAACGTCTACTTTGATTTGCTTTACTTCAAGTTCTGGGGCATGAGTTATAAAGAAATGCATTCTCTGTGTAATTAAAAATGCCTAGGGTTTTGTACCAATGAGTCTGATTAGGCAGAGTAAGAAAGTATTGCTCAATAAATGTTTGCTGAATTGAATGTTCCATTGGTTTGAATGAGTCCCCCAAAGTCCATGTGTTGGAAACTTAATCCCCAGTGCAACAGTGTTGAAAGGTGGGACCTTTAAGAAGGTCACGAGGCTCTACCTTCCTGAATGGATTAAAACAGGAGTGGGTTAGTTACTTTGGGAATGTGTTACTGATAAAAGGATGAGCTTGGCCCTCTTGCCCTCTCTCACATGTGCTCTGTAGCCCTCTCACTTTCTACCGTAGGATGATATAAACAAAGGCCCTCACAAGGTGGCAGCCCCTTGGTCTTGGACTTCCCAGCCTCCAGAACTGTACAAAATCATTTTCATTTCTTTATAAATGACCTAGTCTGTGGTATTTTGTTATTGTAACACAAATTGGACTGAGACAAAGGCTTACATTTCCAGGCTCGGATTTTTGTCACTGCGACTATGTAATGTGAGTCTCATTGTAATATGACTCACTGACAAACAAAATTATACACTGCTGCACCACCCACCTCAACACAATACTGCACGATGACAAAGCCTCTGATGAGGGAGAATTCAGGCTGCTTGCATAGCCTACCTGTGTAGGGGCCACCTTCACAGCCGGTGGGTGGTAAAACAAATGAAGTGATGACTGCATGCCACAGAAACCTAGGTGGTCCCTAGTAGACCGCAAACAACCAGAAGATGAGAACAAATTACTCTGAAAAGTAATGGATTACCTTTCTGCTTGCCCTCCTCTCTTTAATAAAAATTTATTTATTTGCTTTTTCTCTCACTATGTAAATTTGGCTTAGTTAGGATTTTACCATAGAGCTTCCAAAAAGAAAGATTTTACCAAAAAGAAAGACATGAAGGGAAAAGGAAGAACAGAGGAAGAGAAGGAGTGGGGTAAGAACAACATAATTTAAAGAAAAAAGCAAACAGCTTTAATGAAGTCAGAACTACAATGAAGTTGGCTATTCATAAGCCAGAAGCCAAATTCTAGCCATATACAAATCAAAAGGAGATTGTAGGTATGTGTACATGTCTGTGCATGTATGCACATGCCAGAGACAGGCACAGTCATATCAGATAGCCTCAGCACATGCCAGCTCCATCACCCACAGTGGAAACTCAGCCATCTTATAAGTTTCTTCTTTCCTTTCCCCCAACATGGTATAAGTTACCAGGTTCTGTGATTATCTGCCTTAGCCTACGTTCCACCAAAACAAAACCTGAGACAAGTTCTATGTACAGTGGTTTAATATGAGAGTGGACCTAGGGAGCAGGGAAAGGTATAGCAGAATGAACAGACAAGGAGCAGAAAGCCAAATCAAGGTTGCATTACTGAATTGGCCACTGCTGCAAATCTTTGATCCTGTGGGATCTTTCTTGTGAAATGCATCAGAATTGTCCATGCAGAGAACTTCCCCCTACCATCACTCAACCATGGCCCCATGGGCGTTAGCACATATTTCTGGCTTGTGCATGTGAGACTGCAGAGTGGGTTCTTGGGGCATTCCATGCAGTATCATCAGGTCAAGTAGCATGGAGTACATGGCCTTGGCTAGGTGCGTATGCTCTGTTTGCACCTGCCCAGAGCTAGTTGAAGTCTGTGCAGAAATGGTGATGGCCACAGTGGTCAGAATAAAGGGTAGGGAAGGATTTGAAATAGCACAAAAGAGGTATATAACTTTTTTCCCACTGTCACTACCCTAGTTTAGGGCATCACTTGCCTAAATAATTATAGTAACCTCCTAACTGACATCCTTGTCTGTGAATCTCTTTTCCTTCAAGCCTACCATGAATATACTAGCAGGATCATGTTTCTAAAATTCAGATCTGATTATACGCTTTTCTTATTAAAATGCTTCTCCTCCCTTACTCTTTTCTTATTTGCACATTTTGTACCTTTGTATGTTGCTTGACTTTCCTTTGAAGTTCTGGTATAACACAAGAGGTAGTTTTCAAAATCTTCCCAATATACCTCTCTGGCTTCATTTCTCACCTCTTCCAAACAAGCATCCTTCAAACTATCCATGATGTGTGAACCTGCAAGATGCCCTATGCTCAGAGAGCCTGCCTGCTCTTGAGTATCTCCATGTCACCCTGCCCCAGGACCATCCCTCAGAAAACTCTTCAGGAAAAGCAGGCAGCTCTTTTACTCAAGGGTTCGGTTAATCCGCCCTGAAGAGTACAGAGCCTGATAACTGGGAGTTGTGGGGGTAGCGATGGTTTTGCTAACCTGTTCCTCCTCACCAAACAAAGGTGCTCCTATTTCTAGTACCTCATGGCAGCAATCTCATTCTCTGTCTTGATCCTCCTTATCTTGTCTCTTTCCTGAAACTTCCTTTTTAAAATCCTCCACATAAGGTTATCCACCCCAACCTCTCCTTGGGAAAAGGAAAATATCTTGGGAAGTTCTCTTCGTGGCATGGAGTGTTTAGGGAAGGGGGTGGGGAGGTGATGAGTTCCACCTGAATTTACCTAACATTAAATTATAATTTAACAATTGTGAAATACTTAAGTGTTTTCTTCTGAAGATCATATGGTCTATTCTTACCTGAGAAACATTCCTCAGTTAAAATGACATTGAGCCTATTAATTGCAAAGTAATAACTCTGGGTTTATCGTGCTAAGGGAAGAAGGTAAGCTCTATGAGGGCAGGATTTTTTGTTGTTATATTGACTGTTTTATCTAGAGCACCGGGAAAAGCCCCTGACACACAGCAGGACATGCTCTACTTTCTGGGATTTCTTTTGTTACAAAATACCTCTTGATTGACAAAGAATAGATTGATTTTTGCCTTCCTTAAGTAATTCTCACAGGTGGTGAGGATTTGGAGGATGTGGAAATGATGTCTCAATTCTGTCAATGGGTTACAATTTCTAATGATAACTTTATGAAAAACATTAAAATGAATGTATTCTTATGTGGTATTTTTCCCCCCCCCAAAAAATAGAAGTCCACAGAAGGAACTCTTTAATCCCAAAGACATTTCCCAGTTTCATGTTCTGAAAGCTGTCACTATTGACAGGCTGTGTTTTTAGTTTTGCTGGTAACCATGCAACTTTGGAAAATACACTTACCCTTCTGTTTCTTGTTATTATCAGCTGGAGAGAATTATTGATATGAAAGATCAGGAAGTAACACCACATCCTTCCCCACTTAGATTCCTCTTTCTCCTTGTCTCCTATTTTTTCTTTCATATTTTACTTTTCAAAACAATTTTTTGATTCAAATTTTGGGAGCATTTTTGGCTTTTTGGGGGGGTATCTAAATTATTTTGAGTTATTTTGGGGGGTCTGCTGTATTCAGCATATTCCTATCCACTTATTAAACTTCTTAGATCTTTTAATTTCCTGTTTGGGACTGGCTGTTCCTTTTTATATAGCATTCTGTTCTTGTTTAATTGATACAACATCTTGAATATCTGAGGATTTTAATTAAAATTGTTTGAAAAGTTTCTCTCTCTTCCCTGGATTATCTCTGTTTCCTTTGTGATTTCGGTCCTTTTCTTTACTTGCTGTTGGTTTTCTTCTACTATCTGTTGATAATTTTCAGTTTATATTTATGAGTGATGGTTATGTCATTGGCTATACTTTCTCTGCACCTGTATAGATTCTTGGATTAGAGAACTACTTCTAGGCTCTTTATAAGTAGGTTTCCCTCCAGAAGGCAGTTTGAGGGTTCCTATCTACACTTGCAAAGGAGGATAACTTTATTTTGGTGGCAGAGAACTTAGGAATGCAGTATTTCGCTTAAGGACAGAGTTGCCTTTCCTTGTAATTTCTCAGCTTGTCCCTCTCCTTCCCCCTAAACACACTATTGTATATCTGTGTAGGGGGGGTTCAAGAACTACCTAAAGCCCTAGTTTTCTTTTCTGATACTCTCACAAGGTGAATTTTCCAGGAAGATCAGTTATTTTTCTTAGACAACCATTATTCATTTTTGTTTCAATGAAACATTTAGAGGAAGGAAATAAATGTGAGCATTACGTCTTTACATTATATACCACATCTTTCTTTTACTGTATGTAGGTGTTAGAGTGATTAATAAAACACACATTTGTTCAAAAACATTACTAAACATGTAAATTTTGCTGTACTGTGTGTTCTCAATTGGTAGATGCTAAAGCTACAACTATTTTCATGTAAAGTTTAAAAAAAAACTCTTCAGTGTTAAAATTTCTCAACAGGGAACCTCTATCTTAGTTACAGTGTCCATCATCTGGGGGTGACTCCTGGAATTTGATGCATGCTTGATGCCTTCATGCTGCCTTCTCTGTTTCAAATGCCCATCTAATCTCTTCTACTTGCAAAATCCTACCATTTTGAAGGTCTAGCTCAATGATCAATTTCTTTGTGAAGTTTCTCCTCATGCTCTGAGACAGAATTAATTGCACCGTCTTCATTATTCTCTGAGCACTCTGTCCATTCCTCTAGCATAGCAATTACCGCATTATATGATTGTTGTTCACATTCTCTCTCATTCACTGCACTCTAGTCTTACTTATCTTTTCACTTTTTAAATTTTGAATACCCAATGCAGAATTAACTTGTTGGCTTATATCGAACTGCAGATTTTTCTTTATTTTCTTTTTTTGAGACAGAGTCTCACTTTGTCGCCCAGGCTGGAGTGCAGTGGTGCGATCTTGGCTCACTGCAAACTCTGCCTCCCGGGTACAAGCAATTCTCTACCTCAGCCTCCTGAGTAGCTGGGATTACAGGCGTGTGCCACCATGCCTGGCTACTTTTTGTATTTTTCAGTAGTGATGGGGTTTCACCGTGTTGGCCAGGATGGTCTTGCATTCCTGACCTTGTGATCCACCTGCCTCAGCCTCCCAAAATATTGGGATTACAGGTGGGAGCCACTGCCACCAGCTGACAAATTGCAGATTTTTCTTTTATGGAGGAGAGAGGAGAATATGTCTCTTTCTATTGTCTGGAAGTTCCCTTAGGGTAGAACTTGTGTTTACCATTGGCTTTGTATTATTCATTCATTCATCCATTTGCTGAATTTAATGGATGAATGAATTTAGGGGTGCCTATGGTGTGTCAGACGTTGCATCAGTCCTTAGAAAAATGTGGAACGTGGTAGACAAGGTCTCTGTCTTTATGTAGTTTGCAATCTCCTGGGCATTTCACCAGGTTGCTAAGTGACTCGTGGAAGTCACCCCAATGGCATGTCAATAGATAATTAGTCAATGATATTTGTCAGGTATTTCTTATGCATTCATATCAATGCTAAGCTTTGTAGGTAGATTCTTTCTATAAAGAACTTAGGATGTAAAAATTAGTAGAGTTCTGTACAAAATGGCGTAAAGACTCAGCAAATTAGATGGTTCATAATGCAAAGACATTAGCAGTTTAGAGAGTCTTACGGGCAAGTTTGTCTGGAAATACCATAGATGGGCATACCAAAGGCCTTTGGATGATCCCCTGAAGCCCTTTTTCTCTGCTCCCTTTGCCTCCAGTGCCTAGCATGCAGACTTGCCTGAAGAAAGAGTTTTAACATGTTTGCTGTGGTTGAAAGCCTATGCAACTGTATGAGGATCCAGGTCCACGGCCAAGTTTCACAGGAAATGGTAATGGACTTGAGACCTGAAGAATAAGGAGTAAATAGCTTGTGATGGGGCACAAGAGGATTTCAGATAGACCAAGAATATCTGTGGAGGCCT